TTTTTTTTGTATTTTTGCACCTTGCTTCAAAAAGGCACACGCTTCCCCTTGCGCCTCAGGTGCAAATTGGCCCCTGTGCCTTTTTGTGCCTTGTTCTTTTAAAACACTGAGTAGCAAGACTCTTCTTAACATATTCCATAGCATTATCTAATTGGAATATTTTGATACAAGTTATTAAACTGGGTGTGGATCATCTAATGAAACTAACCTATCAATTTGGGAACTTCATCATGAGAATGCAAATGGTCCAACAGCTGTACTAAAATTTAACTTCAAATTTAATTATTGAATATGCTTTGCTGATAAAAAAAAACAAAGATAAACATTTGTTGCCTAGTCCCTTTGTATTGCTAATCCATCAACCAAAATGTCAGCTGATCTTTGTACCCATGGTATTACCAATTACAATTCTCTAGAATGCGAGCCAAAACATCTTATTTCATTTCTGTAGTTCCAGTTTGCCGCAATCCTTTTCGATAACCAACTTATAATTACTTTGAAATCTCCTTCAATAACTAGTTTGTCAAACCCCAATTCGTTTGCCTTCTGCACCCCAACCACTGCTGCTTTCAGTTCTTCCTTGATGGGGTCTCCTTCCCATATTGGGACCGAGTACATCGCAAGTAAAAAACCATTCTCATCTCTTATTACTTCTATCCTAGAAGGACCAGGATTTCTCCTACTGCTTCGATCAAAGTTCAACTTTTATCTTGCCCCTTTCTGGTGGCATCCTTTCCTTTATCAGCTTTGATTTCTTAGAAGAAGAGGCTGAAAATGCACCGCATTTTCTGAAAAAATATCCATCGTGAAGTCTGAAAACAAATCCAAAGTCGTCACCCAATCCAATGTGCAACCTTCACTGTGATTCTCTCAAATAATAGCTTCCTTGCTTCTTTCCTTCCCTTCAAAGATTCTTGTGTTTCTTTCCTCCCACAAAGTCTAGAGCACCAATGCTCTTGTACATCAGAAACCAGGCATATTTTTGTAACTGGAATCAACTACATAATATTTTCCAACTCAACAAGAGGACAAGTGTTAGATTTCGGTGGAATTAAAGATTGATACCATGCGTAATCCTGGTTGTTAACTTGCAAGCCTTCAGGTGGGATAGGAAATAGGTTTTGAAATGTCTCAATGAATACCCTTGAATCTTGAGCAGCTCCCTTCCATCCTGCTCAAACAAACATGAATAACATGTCAAAGGAACATGTACACATAACATTTTGGGTAGTGGAAGACTTCCTTCCCCAATATGGAACCTGTTCATCAGATGGTACCCATGTATGGACATGTGTATCTATAACCAAAAATATCTGAAGTTATTACAAAGAATTACTTCAAACTAAGGATAGTATTTATGGCTGTTTTCTATCGTGGGAAGAACCACCGTAAAGTCACCGGGGCATACAATATCTTTCCTGAATTCGCATATTGCTTTTAGCACGACACTAAAATGTAGGGATGTCATTTTCTTCGAGTGTTGGAAATGATTGGTAACATCTTGACTTCATTAATTATAAGCAATAATCTTCAGCCTAATCCCAACTTGTTCATCAATTGACTCATATCTACAATCCCTTACTAGTCCCCTCTTTGCCAATGCTCCCACCAAGCAAATGAACTCATTAGGGATCTAATGATGCCATAAATAATTAAATATAACAATAAATATATGAATATTTAAAAGTATATGTTTAATAAATAAAAAATTTAAAAGTATATATTTAATAAATAAAAATCGGACCAAACCTCCATGATTCAGTTCTCAGGGACTAAGAAAATATACTTGTTTCATGGTTCCAGTTGCCACTGCAAGAGGTGGTTGCCGTTGCAAGAGGTAGACCCTGTTGCAGAGATCAAGTCGTTAGAGAATGTTACAGAATACAGACTTAGAACCCCGGAAGCCTAGACATTTGACAAAGGAAAAAGCCACCTGGTGGTCGCCACTGCAAGTGGTGGCTACCAGCACTGCTCCACAGTCCTTGACAGAGAAATAGAGCGTCATGAATTGACTTGAGAAACAGAGAAAGAAAAACTGAAAAACTTAAGTTGTGGTTATTGGCTTGCCGCTGCAAGTTGTGGTGGCCGTGGCATGTGATGGTTACTGACACTACTCCATAGTCCAGCTGCTGGTGTCTTGAGACCTTGACTTGAGAAAGAGAAACAGAGAAACCCTAGAGTAAGAGTAAAGAGAAAATCATTTGTCTTTGTCAAATAGGTCTTACACTTAGGATAAAAGTCATTTTTTTCCTTTTATTTTTGTTTTAAATAAATTTTGTTAATTTAATTATTTTTATTTGCAAACCACTAACTGCTGCCTGGGCCAATTGGGTTGACAGGTTGATTACCTTGGTCAGCGGTTCTCTGACTGTTTCAATGGTTTTCCTTAAAATAGCAGTTTTGGACTGAATGGAACCGGTACCCTGGCTGGTTTCCAGGCCAAATGGTCCAACTGTCCGGGTCAGTGACAGTTGACCAAATGGTCAACTGTCCAAAGCCACTGGCTTCCACTCTCGGTGGCATTGGATTTCCCCAAACAGTTGATGCTTGAGAGCTTTTTGTCTGGTTTCTTGTTAATGCTTTGTAGAAAGATTTCATTGTCAATCTACTTTTTTTTGCACTCCTTCCTCCATCTCGAATCTGTCCTCTTTTGATTCAACTCCACCTCTTGAAGCCTATCCAGCAGCTCTCTATGTTCTTCCACGTCCCAATCTAGGAGCAGCCTTCTAAAAGTAGGAGAGCAAACCTCATTCCCTTGCTTTATTTCAAAACATTGAGCAATGGTGACATTGTTTTCTGCTTAAACTATACAACCTCGGACAAACTTTACAAAGCCCTTCTCTCCACCTTCTCAGCCATTCATCCAAACTCCCTTGTTTGATCTACACAGCCACTCCCACTTCACCAAATGATGCTTCTTTCAATCCACCTTAACATTCCAAAGAAAGTCCCTTTGCACATTTTCAATCTCATCTGCCACCAAAGCTGGAATTTTAAATAAGGATAAATGATATAGCAGCAAATTAGAAAGGACACATTTGGTGATTGTAATCATCCCTCCAAGAGAAACATACCTTCCTTTCCAACCTGCCAATCTTTGCTCAATTCTTTGCACCACTGGTTGCCAAGTGGAAGGAGCTGCTGCTCTTTCCCTAATCAGTAATCCCAACTATGTGAAAGGGAACTCCCCCACTAAACACCCCAATGCCCTAGCACAACCCTCAATCAATGACTGTTGTATATCTCCCACCCCCATCATGGTACTTCTGCTTAGATTAATTTTAATCCTGCTAACTGCTCAAAACATTTAAGAATTGCCCTCAAATCCAAAACTTACTGCACTGATGCATCCACAAAAGCAGCATATCATCTGCATATTGCAAGTATGGTACTCTTACTCCTCTTCCCACCTTAAATCCTTCCAATAACCCTGCATCCACCCCCTTGTCAATTAGCCTGCCCAACACTTCTATCGCCAACACAAAAGGGAAAGGAGACAAGAGATCACCTTGTCCTATCCCCTAGAAGAACTGGAATGTTCTGTTAATACCCTATTAACTCAAACTGAAAAGGAAACTAAGGATATACAGGCAAATATCCAGCTTCTCCATTTATCCCCAAATCCCATCCTTGCCAACACCTCCTCCAGGAAGCCCATTCGATATGGTTATGTGGATTCTCCATATCAATCTTACATATCACTCCTGCAATACCACTCTAATAATCTAGTTCTTGCATTTGCACATTCACTTCGAACCAAAACCCCATTCAATATTTACCTTCAACAAATGCCATTTGAGTTGATCCCATAAATTCTGTCACACCAATATAAGTGATCTACAATCAACTTCTAGGTTTCCACATAATATACCTCACCTGAATTGAGGCTGGAGAAAGAGAAAAATAGGAGCTGCAACCTGTAGACACCCAGAAAACAAAGCAGAATACTGCAACTCGTTTCTTAGGCTTCCACTGATCAAACAGAGCCAAAGGGCCATACCCCAAAAAGGCAACTAGTCTCCAGTCTTTGATGATAAAAAAAATATATTGTTTTGTTGGTTTTATGGGCAGAAACTCTAGAACATCTTCTAGGCTTCAAATCTGAATCTGAAACCAAAACTCTTCATATAAACCAGGTGATCCAAGCTGTAATGATCAGCAAAAGAAAAAGCTATGCTCTGATAACAACTTGAAAAAAAGCAATAATGATCAGCAAATTACAGCCCCATACACCCTGCTGATCTGAGCAGTATATGGGTCAAAATGTAAGAACGAAAAGAGAAAAACCATGCTCTGATACCAACTTGAAAAGCTCAATCAGATTAGAGTTCTAATCTAAATAAAATATGCAGTAGTTGATGAAAATTCAGCAGCAAAAAGAGAAGAAAGAAGGCAAAAGAGAGAAGGAATGTGGAGAAGAGAATCCTCTTAGGGATGCATGTGCAGCCCTATTGTAATCACTGTACAACTCTGAAAATAATAAAGAAAACATAAGAATAATGACAAATCAGCATAAATAAAGGAATAAACTTCTCAACATAGGTGAAAGGAAGTTAATGGGTAACTGAATTTGAGGTAGAGGACATTAGGGAGGGTGGTAGTGCTATATAGAACTGATTGCTCTGATACTAGATGGTGTATAACTATTGATCTGATACCAAATTCAACAACGGGGAGAGTACTGAATGCACAATTTGCTTTTCTGCAGACAGGTTGGCTAATCTGGCAGGATTTGAGGTTGTTGTCAGATCTTGTAATTAAATGTTGTTTTATTGATGGGGTTATTTATTTTGAGTAATTTCGTGATACTCTTGCTCTTGGTTATAATATTTTTCTTTGTATGGAGTTCTCTTTGTTTAATTATAAAAAGTCTAGCCTCCAGAATACTGCCTGTTCCCTTTTTTGGAATTACATATATAATTCTATTTACACTCACTTAATGAAAGGAAAGAAGAAAAAAAAAAGATTAATCTGAAACATATAAATCTTTTTGAGTGCAGGTCAGATGGAGTTCTGTTATGGACAAGTCTATACCTGATCCACCAACAGCTGTTCTTTTGCATGGAATTCTTGGTAGCAGGAAGAACTGGGGTAGGTGTATATAGTTTGTTGCTTAAAACCAGTGTGTTACTTCATATTCAGCATATTTTATTTTTTAGAAACATAAAAGTTTTTTGTTTTTCTTTTTAAACTTATATTGTTTTCTATTTGGAACTTGGATTTATGAATTGATGATGAATCTGTATCTTATGCATATTGCATTGTAACATTACGAGATTCTGTAGTGACACTTGGTTTCATTTCTCTTTCTATCACTGTTTTTCATAACTCCGTCTAGCATAAATTGTGAACCTTTTCCTACTGCAAGATGCAAGATTTGGTACAAAGGACAGAGCTTTAACATTTAGCTATGTTATTTCTATAGCTATATAAATGAAAATCATTTGATATCCCATTCTCCCTATTAGAGATGGTCTTTCAAGTAGATCTGAAACAGGAATAGGGCATTGACTAATCCATTCCAATTCTTATCAAAATTCCTTTTTTCCTGTCCTTTCATTTCCTCTCTTCTCTGTCTGTGGGGTCTACCCTAGTTTATCAACTTTTTTTCCCCAAGTTTCCAAGTCATTGATTAAGTAGTTTAGGTGTTATTTAGTTTTCATTTTGTCATATGAGAATGATAGAATTTTAGTTCTGATTTCATAGTTTTAGTAGGATTGGCTCAGTTGTAGTATGGGAGTGGTATACTTCTAGTTTTTTGATTTCTTAGTTTTGGTAGGATTCTCTATGCGTATGTAGTTCTTTTACGAAATTCAATTAGTAATAAATAAATTGAGTTAATTTGAGTTCTTACTTTTTATGCTAAGAGTCATGAGTGATTCCAATGTCCTAGAGTGATTATAGGCCCCTTTTGAGTGATTCAGGGTTTCCAATCTTCTTTCTGTATCTTCCTTCTAATTCTACTAGCAGCAATTATAAGTTTATAACCATTCCGAAAGAGCCATTGAGGACATATAAGGGTCTATATTGAACATGTGTGGCATTGCACTTGTGTTGGCAGACACACAAGCCATCCAACTTTCTCCTACCATCTGATCTGCAACTTGTCCAACTTTCTGCATTGTCCACATGTTGGTGTTAGGGATGTTTGGTGGTTGCAAAAGTGGGAATGGTAGCCTATGATTGTAATGTAGGGGCTGGTAGATAGAAACAAGGTTGATGGGTAGTCTTGCTTCAAAATTCAACAAAGTATTGCTCTGAATCTAGGAGAAAATCCAGAGAATAGTTTCTGGGTTGCTTCTAGAAGCAGAAAACCATTAGAAAATGTTAGAGAATATCAACCTATTCAAGGATCTCACCTAACAGCTTAAGCTTTTAGGTTGAATGGTTCTCTGAGATGGTATCAGAGCCATTTTGACCAAGTGGTCTAATGTTCGGTCCTTGTTACCCCTATTATAATTAAATAAGTTTCAGCACAAGGTGTGGGTGGGCCTGTGCTTGTTCACGCTTCAAGCCCAATGAGCTTTCATGTGAGGGGATGCATTAGAGAATATCAACCTATTCAAGGACCTCACCTAACAGCTTAAGCTTTTAGGTTGAATGGTTCTCTGAGAGAAAATAACAAAGAGAAAGAAATCTTGTATTTCTCAAACACTGATTTCAAAGACAACTGTAGTGAAAAAAGTAATTCATTCCATTCTCATTCAATTCTGCTGTTCTAGACAGATTTACATGTATGTATAAACTTCACCAAAACAAAGGGGCTGTTTAGTATTGTGGTTGTTTATTTAATAAACACTTTGTACTGTATTTTTCTTGAAAAATGAGAAAGTGGTTGATAAATATTTTGTTGACGGATGTTGTACACAGGTTTAGTACCGCAGGGGTATTTCTGTAATTTTTCCATTCATTATGTTGTACGACCAGTATAGTATAAATAACAACTGCTTCACTCGCCTGAAGTATTCTTTTGAGGCATTCAGTCCTCTCGCCTCTCCTCTCTTCTCTTCTTCTCTTTCTCTCTTCCTCCTCTCTTCTCTTGTTCAACATGGTATCAGAGCGGGTTTGTCCAGGCCTGAAAACAAATTAGTTGAGGTCATTCTCCAATGCCGAGTAGGTTGCTTCTTCATCTCCAAGAAGCTGTATCCCTGATGTTCGACTTCAAGAAGGAAGAAGGTGCCGGCCTGACTGTTCAGCTTCCTAGCGCAAAAAAGAGTTCTGGTACAAAGTCTTTTCATCTTCCAGCTCAGATGCTGTTTTCCTTGATTGCTCGGCTGTAGAGAGGCTGTCACCTGATGTACGAAGAGGATGTTCTGGTTTGCAGAGAGGCTGGCGTTTAAGAAGGTACTGTCCATCTACTGTTCGGGTGCCTTGGTATTCAACTGAGGTTGTTTTTTTGTTGTTTTCTTCTTGCACCCTTCGATGGATTGATGGTGCCCTAAAAATCCAAATGTGGTGTTCTCCTCTTGTGTGTTACTACTATTCGGCTACATTGTTGATGGATTGAAGTTTTTTTTTTCTCCCATTGACTGTTCTTGCTGTTCGGCTACATTGTTGATCTCAGTGACTATTCGGCTACCCTGAAGTTGGTGTCAGCCGATTAGGTGTGTGGTGAACTATCACCTTGTATCTTTCTTTCTACTAAGGAGTTGTATGAAAACTGTAAAACC